TATATAAGACCCCCATTGGCATGTCTCCCTATTGACTTGTTTATGGGAACCATCTTCCAGTTAAGCTAGAACATAAAGTTATGTGGGCAATTAAAAAGCTCAACCTTGACCTTGATAAAGCCGATGAGAACCGTTTACTTCAATTGAATGAGTTAGAGGAGTTGAGACATAATGCTTATGATAATGTCAAACTTTATAATGAAAGGACTAAGGCTTTCCATAATAAACTTATTGTGAAGAAATCCTTTGAGCCTGGACAGAAAGCATAACTTTTCAATTCTAAACTCAAACTTTTTCTTGGAAAATTGTGTACTAAATGGGAAGGCCAATATGAAATCATTTCTGTTGTGCCTCATAGGGCGGTTGAGATCAAGAGCTTAAAAGATGGAAACACATTCAAAATAAACGGTCAAAAATTGAAGCCCTACATTGAAGGGCAAGTTTCTTAAAGACATATAGAAGCCGCCCTCTTGGTGGATCCCGTCTATCTTAATGATTGAGATCATTTGAACGTCATCTAGAAACGTTAATAGTTCTATAGAGTTTAAAAACTCTATTTCTCTAGTCCTTCTCTTTTGTTTTTCCTCTTGCAGCATCTAGATAAGGTTTTTGGTTTATGATTCAAATTTTCAAGGCATGTTGATCCTATATGAAATTCTTTCTCTGAGTCTTCAATCGATCGAACCTTATTTTGATCGAGCGAATATTGTCTCAATCGATCAAAAATCATTTTGATCGATCGCCAACCACGTCAAAAAATTTTGATCCCAGGGCAACAGTTTTCTAGATTTCGATCGATCATGGCGTAGCTTGATTGATTGAAGTATTTTCAATCGATCCAAAAAAAAAAAAAAAAAATTCACCATTATGCTCTTTTGTTTAGTCATACTACTTTCATATTTTCTATTGAGCTTGATCTCATATCTCTCTTTCATTTTGTGCCATATTACTTTAGAATGCTTGATTTGTTTATTCTTATCCCATTTGATATTTGATGACAGTTGCTAGTGTGACCATTTTCAAACAGATTTTCGGAATCTAAGTTTGGGGGTGCGCCTTTCAATACTAAGCTTCCGTTGCCGGATCTTATTTGCTACACCCATTTGGTATATTCATCCATTATCTGTTGCTTCTTTGTACATTGAGGACAATGCACAGATTAAGTTTGGGAATGTGTTAGCATATTTTTACATATCGCACTTAGTTTCTATGCATATGGTATGATTTGAGAGTTTTAGCTATGATTTTGATCTTTTGAGCACCATGATACTTAGAATTTAAAAATTGCTTGATTTGAGAGTCTAATACTTTTTGTATGCCTTATGGATGCTATTTAGGAGTAAATTTTTCAAAAAATTGATATCATGCTCGCATTTGTGGTCCGCATCATCTTAATTTTGTAATTGTTTTGAGATTCACTCTAAGATTCTACACTAACACAGGCACACACTAGCATTCATTTGTGGGGTACATGCTTTGTTGATTATTGATTTGGTTATATCCCAATTGAGCTAGTAGTACTTTGAAAACTTTCATTCTTGACAAAGGTGGATAACAAACCTTTTTCACTAAGTAGCCGAGATTCTAACCTCATCAAGCATTGAATTTCTCGCGTAGAAAGGTAGAAGGCCCAAACTCTAGATTAAAATAATAATAATAATAATACTAACAATGAAAAATTGAAAAAGCAAATAAAGTGAGGACTTCTTACCAAAGATAAGGAGTAGGGAATGATTAGATGGAGATTGTTTTGATTTATAACCTAGTTGATTTGAGCTTGTAAGTCCTTAGGGGTGTCTCTACATCTAGTGCCCTAAAACTGTCCAGTTTGGGAGTCATTGACCTGACACTCGCCTCATGAATCTTCTGGAAAGCTTAAGAGACCACTACATTGCACCATGCTTCCATCTTTGATCCTAAAAAAAAAAAAAATAAATAAAAAATAAAAAAATAAAATAAAATTGAGTGAAAAGAATAAATGCACCTAATTAAATAAAATTTTAATAAAAGGTTCACTCTTTATCTTGATGATCGGTACTAGATTTGTGTGCTAACTTGAAGCTGGATGTGATCATTTTTTTAGTTGGCTTAGATAGCAACATATTTGATGTCGGTTCACTTAAAAAGGATTCTAGAGTTGTTTTGATTTGCATGATCATTCTCTTGATGTGTAGAAGACCAAATTTGATTACTTATTATTGAAATTTTGGGAGTTGCTTAGAGGTGGTTGAAAAGTTGCATACTTAAGGTAGTCTTCTCCCAATGCTTGTTTGGTATGTTGGTGTCTCTTTAGTGAGAAAGAGTTTAATGTTTGTGGGTATCATTTCTAGAAACCCTTACGATACTTCACTCGTCCACTAGGGGTAACATGGGGGTTTAAAAGGCTTGTTGCATATGCTAAATGCAATCGTGTTCCCTACGAAAGTGATGTTATCCTTTCATTACTTTCTAGTTCATAGTTGTATAATTGTTTATTTATTTCTTTTCTTTATAGTTCATTGCTAGGGACTAGCAATATTTAAGTTTTGGGGTGTGATAAATGCTCAAATGTGATGCATTTTAGCACCTAAGTTAGGGTATTTTAGTTCATTCATCTATCTTACTTTCCCGTTTTAGTTCTAATTTGTGTTTTTGTCTATTTCAAGTCAATAAGGTTTAAACAGGCTAAAAAGAGCCTTTTAGCTCCTTTTGGGAGTCAAGAAGAAAATTCAGAATAAGTCAGAAAAACTGCACTGTTCCTGAATCGATCGAAAATATCTACAATCGATCGAAAAGAAGGCGGTGCCAGCTCAGTGGATAAGGTTGCCAGTTGTCCAAAATATCTTTGCCACGTCATCTTCGATCGATCAAAGTAAGTTCTAATCGATCAAAGACAGCTTTGACCGATTGAAGCCCTTGCTGGCAATGAGCTGTCTAATTCCTGAGCGCGCCCGAACTCTACCAACTTTTGTAGTTGCGAGTTTGCACTAATAGAAGGCCTATTTCTGACTTGTTGCCCACTCAAAGAAGCATGTATTTAAATTAAATGAACCAATTTATATAGGGTTCCAAGAATTGTTTTCTCTAGTTACATTATTAGATAGCTATTAGATATTTTTTCTTTATAGAATTAGGGTTTTTGGAGCAAAGTAAAGAGGAAGAAGATGGTGCCTACATTGAAGATAACCCTTAAGGGTTAGATGACACCTACCATGAGTGGCTAAATCCTTTTTTTGGGGCTAGAGATAGTCCCTAGGATTGCTTCCTAAACTTATTATTTTGTAGTTTTTAGGGATTTATGTTGTAAATAATGTTTTGACCAATATTATATATAAATCTTGAGTTTTTACATGATTTGTATGGATTAATTTTTCCAATTGATCTTTTATTTATATCCATATGTCTATGTATGCTAGAATGAATGGTCATGTGCTTACACTAGGTTTTATGAGTTTGATGCATGTCTATGTGTGTTGAAATTATAAATCTAGTGATGGTCAAGGCATGGTACTTGATTAATTACTCTTGTAGTTTGTTTGATGGATCATGCTTATTTCTTGATGGATTGTGTTACCTCCTTAGCTTAATTAGTTTAATTTCCATATCATTAGCATAGTTGTAGTGTAGTTGCTTTAATTTCCTAAATAGGTAGACAATCTATTTTTGTTGTTTGATGATCCATACTTATGAATGCAAGTAGTACATTTTTCTAAATTTTTGTGTGTATTAATTGTGGGTTTATTGAATGGTTAACGACTTAGTTTGATAGGTTGTGTTATTCACTAGATTGATTAAACAATTTATGCTTAATTTGCCATCCATGCTTAATATTTTAATTAATGGGACACGCACTTGTTTTACAACATGAAATCCCTTTAAATTGACAATTGCTAAATGTTTAGTGAAATAAAGTTTAGTGGTGAACTTTATATCCCAAGACTTCTCTCTCATTCTCTATACCTTAATCTCTAGATTGTTACTAATTTGCATGTTTTTAATTGAATCATTACTTTAATTCAACCAACCAAACCCCTCTTTGATCATTCGACCTACTAATTCAATATTAATTCCGTAATATCTTGCAAATCCCTTGGAATCATCTCCTATTCACTCTTGTTATGTTAGTAGTATTAGTGGTAGTGATTTTTATAAATTTAAACTTTGAAAAAAGATTTTCTTGAACCGTATTCACACTATCACACAATTTTGGCACATCATGACAGCCGCGACCGGATATTTAGGCTACAACACTGTGGATTTTGGTTTCCCTAAATTGCTTTGCTTAGTCCGCTTCTTCTTGGTTGGTTGGTGTTTCTTTTTCTTCTTCTTCTTCTTTTTTATTTTTATTTTTATTTTTTTATTTTTTATGTAAGATATTACAAATGTGTATATATATATATATATATATATATATATATATATATATGCTAATTTTGGAAAAATTGGATTCAAGTTAATCAAATTGGGCATGTTACCTTTTAAGTAATTAATTAAGTGTTAGTCAAAAAAAAAAAAAAAAAAAAAAAAAAAACCATATCATTAATATTGTGTAAACAAACAAAAAATTAAATAAATTATGCATGTATTTGTATATATATATTATTAATTACAAACATGATTTAAAATATATAACATACAAACAAATGCAAGATTAGATGGCCTCAAATGTGAAACACAATAACAAATTTTTATTAACAGTTTTTATTTATTTATTTATTTTAAAATTATTTTCAGACAATTAAATATTTTTATGAGTTTTTATTCACTGAAAACTGTTTTGAAAATTTTTCAACCAAGTGAATTTTCAAATTTAGAAAACTGAAAACTATTTTATATTTTCATTCTTTGAAAACTGTTGGAAGTTACATTTCCACCAAGGCCTAATAGAGAATATGTTCCCTAATTTAAAACATAGAAATAAAATTACCAAACATACTTGAGTGACGTATTTGTGTTTTTTTGGCATTTTAGAAATTAGTAGCAAGAAATAAAAACATTACCCTCAATTTAATATTATTTTCTCCGCTTTCTTTTCCTTCACTTTTATATCATCCATTTCGGCTAAACCAAACCTCCCCCTAGTGAATTGGAGAAGAAGAAAAGAAACTCACCCTAAAGCAAGTACCATATCGTTCTTTGACGAACATCGGACGAAAATACTAGGGCTACTACTCTTCAAGGTAAGTTTTTGAAAATCATAAGTAGATAGCTAAAATATCGAACTCAACTATGTTTAGTTGCTGAGAAAAGTGAGGTAGGGGAAAGAAAATCGAATCTTGAATCTTACTCCAAGTATTTCTGATTCCTCACATATTATAAGCCATAAAATAAGAGATCTTTTGAACATTGATCCATGTATGATGCATTTCTGTGTGCGTTTTTTGAAGTGTGATTTGATGGGTTTTATTTTGATGATCGGTATTCTTTATTTATTTATTTTATTATTTCTGACGAATTTGATGTTTGTTGAACATCAAGCGAAAAGTTTTCTTAGGCCTTTTATGGGGATTTCAATTTTTTTGACATAGGAGTAAGATATCTGAGTTCTGTGCATTCCTATTTGTTTTTTTGCTTGTTTCTTTGCCGGGTTTTGTCTCATTTTAAACTGTAAGTGAAGAAAATGTGTATTTAAGAGCTGTTCTAAAATTCTTGGAAGGACTTGATAATCTGTAAATTATGATAAAAAAAAAAAAATAAAGAGTCTAAATTTGGTAAACAGAGCTTTCTCTCTCCCCCTATATATGCATATATATTTCCCCCAAGGTTGATACTCATTACAATATTCTTTCTACAGCTTAATCCAACAACATCATGGGAGATAGTCAGTACTCATTCTCTCTCACCACTTTCAGGTATGGAGTTTTTTTTTTTGGATAGGTAAGTATACTCGCACACAAAAGCCCCATTGGGGGTTGAACCCTCAACACCATTAAGGCTTTGGTGGTATGGAGTCACTATTTTTATGCATTCTTGTTATCAAAAGCCTTTTTGTTTGTTCCTTTAGTGATTGTTCCAATGTCATGACTTTAAGATTCATTTTTACTTACCTTATGGTTTACTATGGCACAGTCCTTCTGGGAAGCTTGTCCAAATTGAACATGCCTTAACAGCTGTTGGATCTGGTCAAACATCTTTGGGAATTAAAGGTAATTTGAAACAAATTGAATCTTTATTTCTTTTTAGATTTATATTTACAATTCTTCTTCTTCACATAAAGGTCAAAAGTGATGAGAACGGATGCTGTAATGTTAGGATATATGTTGCGTGGTTCTTGTTTCCTTGACAAGGAACATGTTAGGGGAATGGGGATGGTAACTATAATAGCTGTTGAAAGAAAAATAGCGACGCATGATAAGCCTTTTGCCATTCAAAATGTGAGAATCACTGTCATTTTAAATCCTCCTGACTGCAGTCCTATTACGAAGCTTTATTTAGATAGCTGGGTGTTCTTGATCTTACAAGATATATTCATTTCCCACCCCTTGCATACTGAACATAAACACCAATACATGGTTCACAACTCACAAGCTTAGTGGTACACTTGTTGATAACTATAAAAAATATAATATAAAAAAGAGGGCTCAACTCAATGCAAAACAACTTTATTCCAACTATTTGGGGTGGGCTACATGGTCTTTTTTCGCAAATTCGCTCAATATAAGGCTATATCCTTGGTAAATCATCTGCTATTATATCTTTCCTGAGTATCTCAATCCACATTAGGTTTGATTTTCGCCATCCTCTAGCATCACCCTCACTAAGGGCCACGTCATTTTTCCTAACCAATGTATTGATGCACATGGCCAAACTATCTTAATTGATATTCTCTCATTTTATCCGCAATAGCTACTTCAACCATCTCATTCAGTAACTTGCAAAAGGCTACATCCACAACCCTGCTTATAAAAACAAAACTGGACCGAATTAATTAAAACTATTATCATCAGCAATGCAATATGATCTCGAATGTGTTTTGGTAGTTCATCTATAGCTAAGGTAAAATATATTAGTTTAATGTCTATCCTTGATGAAAACCTACAGTAATTGGGAATTCATTTGTTTCTCATACATTTCTTTTTACTATGGTCATTTTGTCATTGTACATGATCTGTAGCACATCAATATATCTACTAGTAACTCCTTTACCCTTCATTTTATATCTATAGGAACCCCCCAAATTTTTATTTTTATTTTTATTTTTATTGAAACCCTATTGTAAGCTTTCTACAAATCTATAAAAATCATACGTAGTTCTTTCGTTGCTCTCTATATCCTTCCAATAATAGATACTAAATAAGACAAATCTGTAATAGTACTTAACAAGACAATATGTTGCTGTTCTTTCTGTATTTTTTTGTATACAATATATAAATATAAGCGAACAGAAAGATTTGCTTGTATTTGCTCATCTACCGTGCCTAATATGTCTAAACGCATTTCATAATTTTAAAGTTTTATATATTGATTATCAACACAGCTGCTTCTGCTGCTGTTGTTGTAATGAATATTGTTATTAGCATTGCTTACAAGTTTAGCTGGTGGTTGCAGCTGCTAATGGTGTCGTTATTGCGACAGAGAAGAAATTACCATCTATCTTGGTTGACGAAACATCTGTGAGTATTATTTTTTGCTGCAGCTGTATGTTACTAGTTCTGGTATACAGGTTCTTTGTTTTTTAGGTATTCTTTTGGTAATTATGATATGATTAAGCCTTTTCTACAATGGTTGTTTTCTGTTTTGGAACATGGCTATCTGGCTTGTAAGTATCTCGTAATTTGCACTTGTTTCTTGAATAGCAGATTCACTAATCATCTTTATGATAGCTGAACTGTTATCTAATCCTTGCCTCCACTTAGACATTTATACTTACTTTTTGTATGCTTGTCGGAATTGTTGTCTAGAAGACAATGCCACATGATTTTTTATGAATTGTTGTCTTTTACGAAGAAAAAAAGTTGTTTATGTGAGTGTACATATGGCATGCATACATTCACATAATGTTGGGTCTTAACTCCCAAGCCCCAAGGTTATGGCTTCAAGAGTGGTACAGATGATATTTGAGGTCGGTTTTGATTTGTTTTCAGGCAGTCTCGAGGTTGAAAGTGAATATGGGGAAGAACGCTTTGATTCTAGTGGGGGAGGTTTCGGAGATTGAGGAATTAGCTTCTGTTCTTGGGTGTGGAGTTAGTTCTTTTCCGATCTCTTACTTGGGTTTGCCTTTGGGGGTTTCTTCAAGGATTGTAGGTGCTTGGGATCCGGTGGTGGAGAGGGTGGAGAGGAGGCTTGCGGGGTGGAAGAAGCAATATTTATCAAAAGGAGGGAGGGTTATCTTGTTGAAAAGCACTTTGTCGAGCATTCCCACATATTATTTATCCCTCTTCCAGATTCCGTCCTCGGTTGCTGCTTGTATTGAAAGACTCTAAAGGAACTTTTTATGGGGAGGGTTGGGGGATGAGTTTAAGTATCATCTGGTTCGTTGGGAGGAGGTTTGTAAGCCTGTTTAAGTTTGGAGGAATTGGGATTAGGCGATTGTTGCCTTTTAATAGGGCCTTGTTAGGTAAGTGGTTTTGGAGGTTTAGTATGGAGCAAGATAGATTGTGGAGGAGGGTGATATTGTGTCGTTTTGGAGAAGAGGGGGGGATGGTGTTCGGCTGTGGTGCTATGCCTGGAGGGGTAGGTGTTTGGAAAGACATTCGGAAGGGATGGGATGAGTTTTCTAAGCACATCAGATTCAGAGTTATGATGGTAGGGAGATTCGGTTTTGGGAGGATGTGTGGTGTGGAGACCGCACGTTAGCATGTTTTTTCCCTAGACTATTTAGGATTGCGGTGGATAGGCATGCCTTGGTGGCTGACTGCTATCGTCTTGATAGCGGGAGACCGGTTTGGGATGTGTGCTATTTCAGCGATCTTTTCAGGATTGGGAGACGGATGATGTGTTTGGTTTTTTAGAGTTGTTGTATAGCCAGGTGATCCGGGGAGGAGGTAGGGATTCTCTTGTTTGGATTTCATTTGCTAGGGGAATGTTTAGTGTGAGATCTTATTTCGGATGCCTGGTGGATTTGGATGGGGTGGTATTCCCGTGGAAGGCTGTGTGGCGCACTAAGGCGCCATTGAAAGTGGCCTTTTTTGCTTGGACGGTTGTGTGGGGTAAAATTTTGACATTGGATAATTTGAGAAGGAGAAAGCTTATCACGGTGAATTGGTGTTGCATGTGTAAGTGCAATGGCGAGTCGGTTGATCATCTTCTCTTGCATTGTCCAGTGGAGGTTGATTGTTGGAAACTTTTGCTAGGTTTGTTTGGAGTTTGTTGGGTCATGCCTAGATCTACGAGAGGCCTGATGGACACCTGGAGAGGGGGTTGGGTGGGAGCACAGGCTCGAGGGTTCTGGAGGATGGCGCCTTTATGTTTTTGGTGGTGTTTGTGGAGGGAGCGAAATAGATGATCCTTTGAATGAGAGGAATCTTCCATCACTGTTCTGAAATCTTTTGTTATTAGCTCTCTTTGTTTTGGGGGTTTGGGTAGACTCTGTTATTCTGCTGAGGAGACTATTGAGTTTTTGGCTTCCTTGGGGCCTTAGGGTACCTAGGTTTTTGTAATTTGTTAGGGATGCGTCCCCTTTTGAACGCTTTTTTTAATGAATTATTTATTTATCAAAAAAAGAAAAGAAAAAAAAGACTGGTATAGAGAAGAAAGAATTACATTCACCATCTATAGGATTTGATGATGAATGAAAGAAACAAAATTCTATTAATTAAATTGCTAGGATGCACTCAAGTTTGCATTTACTTATAAAAAAAAAAAAAAAAAAAGTTTGCATTTCAATGCTCGATATTGCTTAAAGTATGTTTGTTGTAGTATTTCGAAAACATTGGATCTTAATATAGACTTTCTAGACTAAAAAGGATTAGTATTTCAGTGTTTGAAACCTTTTGGAAACTATTTTTTCGCATAGCTTGAGCAATCTAGTCCAATTAGCCTCAATTGCTACTTCCATCGTCAGACTTTCCTTTACTAGTGTACTTAGGGTTTTAAAATAAAAAAACTTTTATGCATTCCGAAACATAATTTTACAAATCAAAACATGCAAATTATAAACTGGTAGAGAACAGTGGCATCAGCCTTTTAAAGTATTTAAAAGGCGTGACAAGAAGGATTCTAGAGCTCAAACCTTTATTTGGCATATACTAGATGATGGGGTCCACTTGGAGTCTTGCATAATTAGGGGGTTTGGTCAAATTGCATTAGTTTGGTAATTGCATTAATTATGGTGAATCTGCATCATTTTGGTAAATTGCATTATTAGGGGGTTTGATCGAATTTCATTATTTTGGTAATTGCATTAATTATGGAAAATCTGCATTGTTTTGCTAAATTGCATCAATTAAGTTATTTGTTACTTTATAAAGTTAGAGTCAACTTTTGATTACCTACATAGTAGGGTAATCCAAGGGTCATCTTTTATTATAAAAAGGATACTATGTAACTCTGCGTACTCAGCGAATGATTGAATAAAATTATCCTTTGAGATTTCTTTGTGAGTGATTCACAAATTCTGAGGGTGTGAGGCCTTCTCTAGGTGTGATACCTAGGTCTTATTGGAGTGATTCCAATAGGCTTTTCTTTGTTATTTTCAATCCTTCTTTTCTACTAACAACCCCTGAATCTTAGCTTTGTATCTGAATTTCCAGCCCATAACTTTTATTTACTTTCTTCTATTTGAGCCTGTCCTTTGTCCTACATCAGTTTTGGTATCAGAGCCTAAGTAGACATTATGTCTACTCAATCGGCCAATGAAAGATTGGACAATAATTAGAAGACTGAGTTGCTGTTACAAATTTTGGAAAAGCTTAAAGGGTTGAATGCTCAATGTGATAGGATCGGGGCTTGAATTTCCCAGCCTTTTAACAAATCGATAGCCCTTAAAGAAGAATATGCATTGGGTACTAATGATGGCAGAAACCGCAAGCAACAACAGCCTTTACACTCTTTGCAAAGGTGTAATTTGAAGGTTGATCCACCACTCCATCCCCAGTTGGAGTTTCCAAGAAATCCATTACAGAGGAATCATCATGAGCCACATGATGTTACTGGAGATATTACAAAGAAGTTACGTGATGGAACTCATCTCACACAAACAACAATAATGCAGCCAAATGATGGATCGAAACCATCTTTATCTAACATGGCTGATCCTGAAGGAGAGAGTACGATGGCTAGCAAGGATCGTGAGAACATGCTTGATGATGAGACCTCCAACACTGATCATGTGAAAGAAGTTGGAGAGATTGTTTCGTCCATCTCCGTTGTGACGCGCATCCTTGAAGACCCTAAAGTTGGTGGCAAAGATGGGCAGCAGACCTGTCATTTTGAGACGCAAGGTCATTGTGGAAATCAAGCTCGGAAGCCTATTATTGATGGCGGTGGCAGCCCAAATGTTGTCTCCACAGCCATGGTTAAGCGTCTCAAAATTTCCATCAAACCATATCCACAACCATTTAAAGGGTCTTGGATGGATAGTACTTCTATTCTGAATCTTCCTAAAGATGTGGCTATTGGAGTAGATACTTGGTGTATATTAGTGGGCACTGCAAAGAAATGGGAGCATGCTTGTGCCAAGAAGCAACAGAAGCTGGTTCAGATATCCATCAACTTGGTAGATGAGGTCTGGAAAAACCAACTGCCAGAAGAAACTAATCCTGTAAGTGATAAGCTAGAGGGGTCTCGCGCATCAAAAGATCATTTTAGAGGGTTAAGTTTTCCTAATATTTCCTCGGTCCTAATGCAGCAATTATGCATTATAAACTAGAGGAGAAAACATGTTTAGGACTTGATCCAAACAGCATTTGTCTATTTGATTCTGGAGCACAATACCTAGATGGAACCAACTGGTTTGCTCTTTATGTTCTTGCTCAAATACATTCGTGGAAGGATAGCCTTGAGTTTTGACATGGTATTGGCCATGGAGTTCGTATCAGAGGTAATGGGTCAGATGCTAATTTTGTTATGGGGTTGCCTAGAACTAGTCGAGGACATGATGCTATAACCATTGTTTTGGATCTTTTTTCGAAAAAGGCGCATTTTCTTCTATGTTCTATGACCACCAATGTTGGCCACGATGCCAAACCTTTTTTTCAAGAAGTTGTCCGACTTCATGGGTTGCACAACACTATTATTTCTGATCGAGCTTTGAAGTTGTACAAATTATGGAAATTGCTGAATACAAGGCTGAAATTTTCTTGCTTTTTTCATACTTATGAGCAATTTCATCCCTTTAACTCGTCAGAGCCGAGTTTTTCCAAGCCGGAAAAAATTGGTAGAGAACAGTGGCATCAACCTTTTAAAGTATTTAAAAGGCGTGGCAAGAAGGATTCTAGAGCTCAAACCTTTATTTGGCACATGCTAGACGATGGGGTCCACTTGGAGTCGTGCATAATTTGGGGGTTTGGTCAAATTGCATTAGTTTGGTAATTGCATTAATTATGGTGAATCTGCATCATTTTGGTAAATTGCATTATTAGGGGGTTTGGTCAAATTTCATTATTTTTGTAGTTGCATTAATTATGGAAAATCTGCATTGTTTTGGTAAATTGCATCAATTAAATTATTTGTT